TGGTGATGGTGGTGGTGGTGGTGGTGGTGGTGTTGGTGGTGGTGGTGGTGGTGGTGAATCACATTGTCGTGACTATTCCCAACGCGTACAAAACACCCTGAATCACCTTGTATTTATTATTCCTCATTCGTATTTGATATCCTCCGGTTACAGTTCGATAAACACTTGAATATTATTTTTATTGCCACAAAGTGAACACGTTTAAACAAGCATAGAAAAACCATTTGCTATTGCGTGACAAAACAGTGTACATTTTTAAATGAAATGTAAACATATGGGCTTACACAAGTTATACAAATACAACTACAAGTTAAACAACTAACTGAACACTATTGGATACATATGGAAGGAACAGTAAATTTGTATTCATGAGCTGATGGTACAACAGCGCGAAAGAAAAAGATAGCCAGTCTGTTGTCAGCATTACCGTGGTGACATTCATGTCAACTGATCATTTGTATGGACAACTTCAACTGGTCGCAAAAAATAGAATCTCATGAAATGTGGTTCAGTTAGGAGGATCCGGGGCGATGTGATCCTGCTGATCAATATCACCCGAACATCGTCATCCATATTTCCATGGAACGAGATACGAAGGTTGGTAGCTAAAGATGTGTCAAATAGTTCAAGGTCACAATTGTAAGTCCCTGGGCATAATGAGTATTTTATTAGTTTATTAATTAGCTTGAAAATATGAATGGCATCAGTTAATGACTTCACTTACCATGTTTCAGCTTACAGCCTGTAGTGGAAGATATAAAGTTACGAAATGAGCACTCACTGCCTGAAATCGCTTCCGATTTTCTCTTTCGCGCAAGCGCTTTTCTTATGGAGAACACGGAAAATGTGTCTTGTTTTCACAAGTCACGGTTAAACAAACCCCAATCTTTTACGGATGATTGGTGCAGTTTTGATGGAGTTTTTCGTATTGACAACACGGTTGATAACTCAACCGCTAACCGCCATACCATACATCAGGGCAGCTTAACCAGACCGGATAAGGTGTTTACAGATTGTCGCACTGCCTATTTAATCCGCTTGTCTGTCGTCAATGAATGAGTCTATCCGCCGACTGTCATGCTCAAGTTCCTCGGCACTGAGTCCGGAAGATGAAACGCGGGTACTATGCATTCCAGTTCCGTTTTTTTTCCAGCCTTGTCCCCTCTTCCTGCCCTCCCTCCTCCACGCGCGTGTACGCCCCTGTCATGAATTTAGGTGTCAACCGGACCGCCATGGAGAGTTAGTCATCCTAAGGAGCATAGGTATGTAGCGCACCCAAATCGGATATGACTGCCGCTTAAAATTGTCTGAAAAGTAAATACCCAGGCAACCTTCAGGTACTCCCTGTAAGTGCGTAACCAAATTATGGATGCATGTCACACTGCTCCTCGGTCGTACGAGGATAGTCAGAACCGATCGAAAACTTTTTGCACCATGAGGATGCTCATTGACGCGAGGAACAGCAACGAAAATGATCCAAACCGGGTCAAACTACGAAGAAAATTGTATTAATTGTAGTAGTAGTAGTAATAATAGTAGTAATACACTCGAATGAGTCGAATGTGAGCAGTCAGGTCACGATAGGGTCCGCGCGAAGCAGTACGCAATGAACGCGGGATAAGAATCGTCGATCAGCAACTGCTGGACTACACTGGCACTTGCACGCAACATTCCACGGAACTGAGACACAAGGAAAAAGCCACAGGACCAATTAATTGGTCATCCAAGCCTCTGCCAATCAAGTGCTAGTATTTCTGTCGTTGTACAGCTTCTGTCTGGGTCGCACGGTTTCCGATTGGTTGGTACAATCGATCTATGATCTGTAGTTCAGCAGCTGTGACACGTACGCGCTTTGATGACGTCATCCATGAAGCTTGAATAATCACAGTTGTCCTAAAGCTGTAACGCATTTAGCATTTAGCAGCTCTTCACTCGAAATTTGGGAGGTCTTATCATTAAACACAGTCTCAATTCAATGTTATGGTTTTGTTTACAATCACTGGTCAAAAATTACTGAGTTCCATTTGAAGAGCTATTCATTGCATAATGAGGGCCTACAAGTTATTTTTTCGTACTGAACCAGGTGGCTGGTTTTGTCGGTTCGCAGCCAAATAACCTGCCGATCATGTTCTCTTAGAGTGAGAGTCAAATCAGTCGGAACCGCGATAATA